ATACTATAAAATAAACTTGATTTGTTGTTAACATAAGTTATAATCATGAATGCCTGACAATATTTACAAGTATTAACATTATTTGAATAAGATAATTAATGGAATCATGTTAACAATTTATAATTCGATTGGAACCTCCTTTGTGTGTGGTTTCCAGTTCAGTAATAAAAAGAGTTTATACTATACTTATTTAAAATACCATTAGTGATCGTCTAACCTTGATATTTTTTTTTATCATTGTTTGATCCTCACATTAATCTTACTATCTCAAAGTTCTCATCAACTTCTTCTTCTTCTTCTTTATTATTATTGTTGTTGTTGTATTATTATTGTTTATAATTTATACAATTAACCTTTTTATGGTTCGATCCTGATCTTTTTGGGTTATTTATTACTTCGACACTCTTGCACTTTGAAAAAAACATCAATCTTTTGGTCATGTCAGATATCTTAAAAGATTTAAAAGTGATTATAGTATGAAAAGAATTGTTGTTAACTCAACTGATAAATTGAAAGAAAAGGAATTGTTAGAGCAAATCTTTGTTGCTAAAACTTCTAATGCATAGGTCATTAGGAATATGAGTGGAGGCTAGAAGACCTTTTGCTTTATCAAAATCACTTGACCTTTATTCAAAAGCCTTGTGTTAAGTTTCTCATATAGATGTAGATTTGGTTACTTTGACTTTAGGTAATGGTTTGACTTCTTAAAGTTTAGAAATTCATTCAATCATACCATGATTTATTGATTGTGTCAAAGAATATATGAACAACTTCATCAAAAATATTTCTTCAAGTAATGGGAATACAATGGTTTTGGAGCATATACAAGTTACACTAGTTAATGATCATAAGAAAATAGATCTTTCAATGAAATATAAAAATTGACCACTCTAATTGGTTGGCAAAAACATTTCCAGGGCCTTCTTGATGCTCATTTTCGTAGTCCAAAATTTGACACGCTTTTTGAAGAATTTTCCATAACATAACCTAAAAAATGATAATATTTTCAATGCGTTCAGCTATTAACACGTTCATTTCAAAATAATTGATAGCTTTGTATTATTGAGCCTGTCATAACTTTAGTTTTAGGTTTCTCCAAAGAATATCCTTTTCTTTTAAAAATTAAAAAAGTTGAAAAAAAGGCAACACAAAATGGAAAAAACAATAAAAATTAAAAAAAAGATTGGCAACTTAGCAAAAACGTACTGAGAAAGGTTCGAAACGCATAAAGGGATTAAATTGAAATTCCAGGACAAAATTAGGAACCCAATTATACCCAAGACCAAAAGACAATGCATATTTAATGTCAAATTAAATTATTATTATTGAACGAATCTATATAAAAATTAAGTCTGGGAAATTAATTAAAATTTTAATAAGTCAATTTGATTTAATCATGAGTCTAATTAAAAGTTTAATTAAGTTTTAA